CCCAAATTATAGCGATCCCGGGTTTGTCCCCTATATGAACAGTGCTCCGGTCGTAGGTTTCCGTGGAGTTGGTGGTTGTATGTCTTATTGCCATCCTTTAGGTTCCATATGTCTGAGTTTTAGGATGTGTTGGGCGTGTTTCGAACAGGCTGGTTGAGCCTTAGTCCCTTTCCTTGTTGCCCAGAGTTTTTGTGGTACGCTCGAGCGGGTACCCTTGCGCTTGAGCGGAGTTTTTACACTTCCAGTATCTGTGCCTCTGCAAAACTTCTGCAGATGTGTTTTTCACGCTCGAGCGGGTTTCATTACGCTCGAGCGGGTCACGCTCGAGCGGGTCTGTTGGCGCTCGAGCAGGGTGTCTTTTGCCTGCGAAAGTTCTGAAAGGGGGTAATCTACGCTCGAGCGAACTGATTTTCGCACTCGAGCGGATGTGTTTGGTTCTTGTGTCCTAGAGCTCGAGCGGGCCTTATTGTGCTCGAGCGGGTCCAGTTTTTGTACTTGACGCTCGAGCGTTCTATTCTCCGCTCGAGCGGATCATGCGTATATCAGTTGGCAGCTGTGCATTTTTGAATCACATTTCAACATCCTTTCTCTCTCTTACTTTTTCGAAAAATCCATTTGAGAGCTTCTCTCACTAAAACTCAACTTCTCTCTAAGTATTGATCTAGTTAGAGTATTCTTCTACCCTTTGTCCTTTACAAAAAGTGTGTTGATCGTCGAGGGCTACGTTTTGTTTCGAAAAGTTTGGAGTTTGGAGCACTTTGAGTTTGGTCCTCTCCTTGGTTTGAGCTCTAGCTTCGAGGTAGGAATATCCTACTCCATCTTATGAGCTTTGTCTTTGAATTTTGACATTTTGATATGTTTGGAGTCGTTGGGTAATTTTGAGGAAGTTTGGGTCTTTGTGTAATTTTACAAAGTCGGGGTTTTATTTATTATTACCTATATGCATGTTGGGCATAGAGAAATGAGATGAATGTTGGATTGTTGATAGAAATGAAACCTTAGGGTTGTTTTGTTAATTATGGGAAATACCCTAATTGCATTGTTAAATCAATTTGTGAAATAAATGTGAGAAATGAGAAATGGAATTGAAAATATTGGAATTGGGAATGTATGGGATTAAAGGGTGCAGTTGGGTTATTCATCACTCACCAAATTGAAATGTCAATATTTTACCCATTTGGCGCATTTATTCTTTGTTTAGAAATAACTGCTTGGGGCTATCGGTGGAGGATAGTTTTGATTGTTGTTGACAATGCATGATGATTAGGCAAACTAAAACTAATCGATTAAGTGTACTATTGAATATAGCGATTGGAATAATACATTAACTTTATTTATTGATTGGTTGTATATGATAACTGTTTATATGCATTGTTTGTGTGGGAGAAGAAATGGGCTGTACTCCACGGTTTATTGGAAGAAAGGGGTTAGACCTCTAAACCGGAAGGTTTATTGAAAGAAAGGGGCTGGACCTCTAAACCGGAAATTGAAGTACAGATACAGCTCATATGCTTATCTATTGAAGTGCAGATACAGCTCATATGCTTATCTATTGAAGTGCAGATACAACTAATATGCTTATTTGTTGATGTATTGATGCAGCTTGTATGGTTATCTGTTGATGTATTGATATAGCTAGTATGCTTATCTATTGCGAAATGTAAATGCTTAATATGGGTGTTTGTCTCATATAGGTTGTTTGATCAGGCTCTGAGTCATAGTCATGAATTGAGAATTGGTTAAGAAACGGAAAGTGAATGTAACATGGACATCATTGTGATTCATTTTGTTTCCTGAACGAAAGTGTTTCTCTGTTGAACAATGTTCCCATTAGGTCCCTCCAAGCACAGACAGAAGCATGTGAAGCCAAGACTAAAGCAGATTTGTCAAAGGCACAGAGAAGCGAGGCATCCAGTTCCAAGAGTGATTGCTTCATCCCGTAGAATAGCATGGGCAACCACCAGGCTATTTGAGATCCTCGAGTTTGGACGCGGATGAGTTCTTGAATTTGCTGCACGGGTCGTATTCGGTGAAGGTGGAGCTCAATCAGCTGGAGAATGAAGTTAGGGGTGAGGAACAAGAGTTGATCTGGACAGGTATGAGAATGGAGAAGTTTAGAGAAAGAGAGAGAGATGAGTTTTGATTTGGTAAGGTCAAATTTCTCTATGATATGTTTAGGGACCTTAGACATCAAAAAATAATTTTGTGGATCTCTTCCATTACGAAAAGTGAGAGAAGGACCTTGGACTAATTTTCTCATCTAAAAAATAAAAAAAAAATTAGTGGTTGGTACACGCGATATGTACACAATTCAAATAAATATAAATAAAATAAAATATTAATTATATATTGTGTATAAGGGCAAACTACAATATAATGGACTGTTAGCCCTAAATAAATAGTCCCTAGATTAGAGTGCTGCTATTTATCTCTATCTTTTTTGTTTAAGAGCCCCTAAGTAGTGTTTGGTAGAGTTTTTTTAAATATGATTTGAGAATAGGAGCTATATTTTGAGTTTGTGAGTTTTGGAATTATGATTTGAGTGTGAAATTTTTTTTTGTTAAATGAGTTTTGAAAATAATTTTGAATTGAATAGGAAATTTTTGATGTGACATATGATATTTAATACAAAAACTTACAACTCATGATCAAACACACAACTCAAAATTCTATTAAAGCTCACAATTTTTTTTAAAAAATTCAAAAATATTTTTTTTGAATATATAAAAATTAACATGTGTTAATTGAAAAAAAATATAAAAAAATTACACTGTTCCGATTAACCGGTGGAACGACCGCTTAGGCCAAATTTTAAAAAAAAAAAAAAATTAAAAATCGCGCCAGACATAGAATTTTCTGTTTGTTATGGAAATATAGTTTGAAAATCCTATCCAAACATGATATTAGAATGTGTGGGTAGAATTATAATTTGAAAATCTTTCCAAACACGGCCTTAATTCCTTAATTTTTTTTTTTAATTCAAATTTTATGCTAATGAAAATTTCATTTTTACCCTTATCTCTGATATTGGAATCCTAATTTTCCATTTCCTAACCCTAACCCTAACCCCATCACCTCCGACAGTCACCACCACCTCTGGCCGTCACCATCCCCTTTTCATTACCACCTCCCGCCAACCCCCTTTGTTTTTCGATGCCGCATTTCTACGCCTTCTCCTCAAACCCTAACCCTACAACCTACCATCACCGGCAAAGAGTGAGATATAGAGAGAGTTCGCAAAGAAGAAGAAGAAAGAGGAAGAGGGTTGCAGTGGTCAGTGGGGAGGGGTAGAGATACTAGATTTGGAAGGGCGAGTTCACGATCGCGAGTCATAACCGGCGATGGAGGGCGAGTTGCAGAGAGCGATGGATGGGTGAGGTGTCAGCGATGATAACATAGTGAGGCAGCGGAAGATAAGGAGCTGAGGGTGGTGGTGTTGTCGGTTGTAAAGGGTTGTTAAGGGGAAGTCGTTGGAGGGGTTGGTGAGGAAGAGAGGGCAAGGCAGGTGGATTGCCGGCGGTGAGGGCTATTGATGATAGAAAAGTTGACAGAAAAGTTGGGGGTCTAAAAGAAAATGAGTATAGGTGTGGAATTAAGGTGGGGTTCAAAGAGAAAATAGATGGGACTCATTTAGCTTTGGTGGGTAGGGATTCAAAGAAGTAGAGAGGCTAAAATAAAAATGTAGGACTAAATAACAACATTCCTAGATTATTTAGAAATGATGTGTATTTGACTATTAGTTCGATCATCGCTAAATTAGCCAAACGATGGATTAATAAATTTATTGGACATAGAGTTCAATCCCATACCTCAATCTCATAAAACAAACGATTCCTTGAAGTCTTATGTTCAAATCTCACTCTCTTCTCTATCTAATTAATTTTTTGTTTTGAATTGAGAAATTGTCGCTTGGCCTAAAGAGAGAGAATGTTTCAGGATCTTAACAAACATGTTTACTTTATATAATGGTATAGATTATATATATATATATATATATATATATAGTATTACGCAACACATGAAATAATAAATACAATATGATAACAACATATAATTATTAGGAGTGGGTAACGGTTTATTCGATCCCCAAAATCCACCCAATCCGCATACAAATAGGCAGTTTCGCAAGCACAATGTGGCATGGATGCAGTTTGAAATATGACACGTTTGCGGGTTGCGGGCCCACCCGCACTTTTATTTATTTATTAATGTTAATCGTTAATTTCATTCCTATATTCTATCTAGATATTTTTATTCAAGACAAAACACCCTTTATTCTTTGAACTTACTCTAACATTACATTTGCTAATAGTATTATATCAACTGAAATTGAATAAATACTGATCATATTATTATTGTTTCATAGCTAAACTTGTCCTGAATGAAGTGTGATTTGGAATTTTAAATTCCTTAATGAATATGGAGTTCTAATTTAGAATTTTAAAATATGTGCTTGTGTTAGTTTATGATTTGATTTAGGATTTTGAATGATTTGTTTGTGTTACGAATTGATTTTGTTGTGTTTTTAATTTTATAAGTTTTAATTCATTAATTATTAATGTTGGAGCATTTTAAAAAATGGGGAGAAAAGAGCCCAAAATAAATATTTACAAAATGAGAAAAAAAAAAGTTCAAAAATAAATTTTTGAAGAAAAAAGTCCAATTTGTAAACCACCCATAACTGCCTGCACATCTGCGAACCCTATTCGCACAAACCGCAAATTGCACTGCGGGCAGTTGTGGGTTGACTTTTTCCCAAATCACATAGATGCGGACAGGTCTAAATCAATTCGCAAACCGTTAAAATCCAAACCGCAGACACCGCTAATAATTATGGTAACATTATGGTAACATTATTGATTATTGTAATCCCTAATATCCAAAGGTCATAAAATTAGCCACACACAATATGAAAATTGTAAATGTAGTATTTTTGAATTATTATTTGTTTTTCCACTCTCTATAAAGATGGGTGTTCTATCCTTGGACAAACAAACCCGAACAACTACTTCCGAACCGAACACCTCTCTCTCTCTCTCTCTCTCCGCAGTTGTGGAGGAGAGAGATGGGCATAAATTGCAACAGAGTAGAACACTTCTCAGACAACCAAGCAGTTCCAACAGAAACAATGCCACCATTGGAATTGCATAGAGTGTGCTTGCCACCCCACAAAACCACCCTTGAGAAACTCAGAGACAGACTGTCTGAGATTTTCTTCCCAGATGATCCTCTTCACAGGTTCAAGAACCAAACATGCTGTCAAAAATTGCTTCTGGGTCTTCAATTTTTCTTCCCTGTTTTTCAGTGGGGACCCAATTATAGTCTAAATCTTCTAAGGTCTGATGTCATCTCTGGTCTCACCATTGCAAGCCTTGCAATCCCACAGGTATATATGTATATATATAAGATACCAATTATGAAAACTTTAGTTAGGCCTGTTCATGTTTTCATTTTCTGTTTTTGTTTTCAGAAAACACATAAAAAGGTTGGTGTTTTTTTTTTTTTTGAACAACCATAAAAGGTTGGTTGGTGAACTGTTTTTGATATAATTTTATTTTTTGTAATGAACAAAACCCACTTTTTATGAATTATTTTTTGAATTTTCGTAAACCGTTTTTGCTTATAAATGAAAAGGACCACTTTTATTTATTTTTATTTTTTTGTGGTCATTTTATTGTTCTTTTTTTCATTGTTCCTTTTTTTTTTTTTTTTGAAAGCATGAAAAACAAAGAAAACAAAAGCATAACCAAGCAGGGCTATGCTAGGAAAATTATCCAGTTTTATGTCACATTTCTGGGTATTTTTCCAAAAAAGAAAAACAGATAACAGAAAATGAAAACATGACTAAAAAAGTACTTATTTTCGAGTATTCATATATATATATAATCATAAATATGAAAATGATGGCCATTTTTAGAAATTTTCATTGTCTTTGTTTTTCAAAAACACAAAAAACAGAAACACAACTAAACGGATAGGAAAATTATCTTGTTCTATGTCACATTTCGGTGGCAATACTACTTTCCCGGAAAAATATATAGCAAAAGAAAATTTATAATTGTTTCCCTGATCTCATATCGGTTTTATCTCACACTGCAGGGAATAAGTTATGCAAAGCTTGCGAATTTACCACCTATAGTCGGCCTTTGTGAGTATTCAACACCCTTACTACTCTGTTTTTCTTGCTAATTAAGTTCAACAAACTATTAAATTCACAAGATTTGATGGTCTTTAATGTATCCATTTTACTTGAATTGGGTTTTGATGCAGACTCAAGCTTTGTACCACCACTAATATATTCTGTCCTGGGGAGTTCTAGACATCTCGCAGTCGGTCCAGTCTCAATAGCATCTCTTGTCATGGGCACGATGCTTAGTGAAACAGTTTCTTACACTGAACAACCAATTCTCTATCTTCAGTTGGCTTTTACTGCTACTTTCTTCGCTGGTGTATTTCAAGCCTCTTTGGGGCTACTAAGGTATTCAATTCTGTAACAATCTAAACGAGTAATGTAATTATGTAGTCTGTTTGTTTCTAAGGAAAATAAAAATGACAGAAAATATCTCACTTATAAGAGTTGATAAAACAAGCCCAGAATCATGGACTATAGGGTGTGTTCTGAACCCTTTAAAACAAATTCTTAGTGGCAGAAATTATTATGCACCATTTACACCAGTATTGTAGTCTGTTTGTTTCTATGGAAAATATATATATATTTTTTATTATTATTATTCTTTTTGATAGAAATATTTCATTTTGAGAGTTTTCTGAAACATTGGTATTCCACAAAATCATGAACCGTTATGCGTATTTTTTGAACCCTTTAAAACAAATTATTTGTGTTAGAAATGATTTCAATAGTAATAATTGGTGCTAAATATTTAAATAGTATTGTGCGTGCAGTTCATTTTAGCGGTTCCTATATTTTATTAGCGTAATCACTTTGTATAAAGATAATCAATTACATGACTGTGGTTCTTAACAATAACTCTGAAGAAGCATCATGAAAATTTAGATGAACTTCACAGAGTGAAAAGCTTTTAGAAAAAATATTCTATTTCAATTTTCCCGTGTTTTGATTGATTTTGATCGGGTGATTTTACAGGTTAGGATTTATCATTGATTTTCTTTCAAAGGCAACTCTTCTCGGGTTCATGGCCGGTGCAGCGGTGATAGTATCCTTGCAACAACTAAAAGGGTTGCTTGGAATTGTTCACTTCACTAGCAAGATGCAAATAATCCCTGTTTTATCCTCTGTTTTCATGCACAAAAATGAGGTAAGAACTTTATTAAAGATTGGAATTTTACCTTGTGAAAAAATGTTAAGTATGTTATTGTTTGGTAACAGTTTTTGAAGATTTTTGATTTTTTTATTGTATTTTTTTTGTGAGGCAAAAGCAATTTTTGTTCTCAAAAGTAAGAATATGTGCTTTAAATATGCCAACTAACTAAGGGCTGTATTTTTTTTAAGTGAACGATGTCTAGCAAATATTCCTTTCAATTTTAGTCTTTAAGTCATTCGAATGATACGATGATTCTTGCTAGGAGTAAGCTCCAACTTCTCTTTGGTTGAAGGTTTACAAAGTATTTTTTGAATTTGAAATAGACTGCAGACATCTGGTCCTCTAAGATCTTGTCTGTGATCAATCAAAAACCTGGTTTTGACTAAATTTTTTAAAAAAAAAAAAAATACACACACAAGCCTATTTGGAAAAAGTTCAAATAAATTTTTTTTTAAAAAAAAAATCTAAACAGCAGCCGAAAAAAGTCTACTTTCTTATTAAAACAACAACTTTTTTTAACAATTCCCAAATACATAAGTTTTTCTAGATTATGAAAATGTAAAAAAGCTACTAGAAAATCCAAATATCAAATCCCCTGCTGACTCCGCAATAGCAGGGAGTCTTGTATATTGAACTGCCCTTTATTTCTCTAACTCTCTATTTAATTCCTTGCAGCAGTTTGTTTTGGATTCTCCTGCCAAAAATAATATAAAATAAAATAAAAATTGAGAGAGAGAGAGAGGTTATTGTTGTGTATTGACTTGGCATACAACTGATTTGTGCAGTGGTCATGGCAAACCATTGTAATGGGCACAAGTTTTCTAGTGTTTCTGTTGACAACAAGGAAAATTGTAAGCCTGTCTGCAAAACCTCCAAAAAATAATTTTAAGTTTCTTACTTAAAACACTTTGGTTTCTTACTTGTAATAGTTCTATCTTTATTTAACCAACACAGAGCATGAAGAAACCAAAGTATTTTTGGATATCAGCAGCAGCCCCGTTAACATCGGTCATTTTCTCTACCCTTTTCGTCTACCTCCTCCAATCAAAAGTTCATGGGATTGCAACTGTAAGTTATGATCCACTTGAGTTACGTCTTTCACCTTAGAATTTAAATTTCAACAGTGATTCTCGCTTTCTACTGTGTTTTTTAAATAGCATTTTTTTTTTTTGGGTACAGGTTGGGCACTTACCAAAGGGCATGAATCCACCTTCATCAAACATGTTATATTTTCATGGACCTTATTTGGGGGTTGCAATCAAAACTGGCATTGTAACTGGAATATTATCTCTTACAGTAAGTTATTAAAAATCTAGCATTTAAATAATCTACACTATAATCTTTTCTGATTTGTCTTCTCTACAAGTAAGCCCTTAATTAGAGGCTTTTGTTTGTCTAGTAACCTATGTTATATGGACTATTCTATTTGCCACAAAATATCCTTGTCCACTGTACATGCAAGGGTAAGAGTGCGAGATATGCTTACCCAAGAAAAAGAGTAAGATATGTCCAACACTCGTGCTTAATTTAGACACTTAGGTCCTCTAATTTGTTACAATGCATGAAGAAAAAAAAAACAACATTTGCTAGTAAAGAAACATTTATAGCCTCTCACAAGGATTAGACATAGAAATTTCATATTTTTCCTAAATCCTATATAATTTCAGTATATTTCTACACAATTTAATAATTTACATGTTATATGAGAATATTATAGAATATGTAATATATATGTGTCTGTGACGCGTCCCAGTAACCATATCCAACTTTTGGATACATATCCCAACTCCTAAGTTTTAAGTTTCTGAATAAGCTTTTTTTGATTTTTCATTTTTCCTAAGTTTTGGTTTAGTTTATTTCTCAGGGGAATTTTTTCAATTTTTTTTTTTAAATTTTTAGAATCGTTTAGTCTATCTAAAAATTTAAAAACAAATATTATAGAAAACAAAAATAAAATAAAAAAATAAGTCAGCTTATAAGCTGTGCCAAAGGAAGCATATAAAACAAGTGGAAGTGAATCTTAGTTATCTAACATTACGAAGATCTTTTTGTTGCGTCACAGGAGGGAATCACAGTGGGAAGGACATTCGCTGCATTAAAAAACTATCAAGTTGATGGTAACAAAGAAATGACAGCTATTGGCCTCATGAACATGGCTGGTTCTTGCTCTTCATGCTTTGTCACTTCCGGTACTAATCATCATCTCCTTATTAATACTCACAAAACCATTAGACTTTTTTGTTTTTGTTTAACAATTTTGAATATTCTCGCAGGATCATTTTCTCGATCTGCTGTCAACTACAATGCCGGAGCACAAACAGTGGTTTCAAACATTATAATGGCATCGACCGTGCTTGTGACTCTGTTGTTTCTCATGCCACTGTTTCATTACACTCCCACTTTCATTTTAGCTGCGATTATCATAACTGCTGTGATTGGGCTAATTGATTATCAAGCTGCATTTCGCTTGTGGAAAGTTGACAAGCTTGATTTCTTAGCTTGCTTGTGTTCTTTTCTTGGTGTTCTTATCATTTCTGTGCCTCTAGGCCTATCCATTGCAGTAAGTTCTCTGTCCAAATACATTGTTTGTGATGATTTCTTGCTTCTGTAGTTCCTTTGCTTACTTCATTCCCAAAATATTCTAAACTTTTAGCCCTGTGTTCTGAGTGTTCCTTTCTTACCTATTGATTACTCAAGATTGGGAAAAAAGTGTTTTTCCAACTAAAGTGAGTAAATCTATTTGCATAGAAACCATTCGTATAGTGGGCCCCTATCCTTTTGTCTGTTAATGGTTTATGTGCATGTAGAATAGTTGAAACTAAACTTTCTTAAGGAAAACGATTTACCACCAGAATTTTTATACAGAATTACCCTAAAAAATGATGTGACAGTGACAAATTTGTAATTATGTTCATAATGATGAGTCCTTATGTTTTGAAATAAAACAATCACAACAATAAGACACATCATTCTGTTTAATAATTATGTACAATTCTTTCTGATTGTATAGCACTACTCATTCTTATAATTTGACCGTACCTGACAGTGACGGTTTGTCTGCAAATTCAGGTGGGAGTTTCGGTTTTCAAGATTTTGCTACATGTTACAAGGCCAACTACTGTGGTTCTAGGAAACATTCCTGATACTCAGATATACCAAAGCCTTGGCAGATATGGGGAAGCTTTGAGAGTTCCCTCATTTCTCATACTCGCGGTTGAGTCTCCCATCTTGTTTGCAAATTCCACATACCTACAAGAAAGGTTAGTGAACTTGCTATAATATTTCACTTCTTCAAGGTATGTGTCATTTAAGATAAAGAATCAACGGCATGTCCTGATTTTGTAGGATATACTATTTTGAAATTTCTTGTATTTTTACTGTACACTTAGATTTACTGTAAGGTGTCTTGTGGTTGGTCGATACTGTTAGGCCAATACTGTCACACTCTCACGTAGTGAATTTAATCTCCTCCTCTCCATGGACATAGACTCATTGCTGAATCATTTTTTTTTCTTGTGTTTTGTGTGTTTAATTTGTTTCTCTAAGTTGTTTTGTGGTTGGAACCATTGATTCGATACCTGCATAACAGATACCATTGTATTGTACTGAAGAAATGGAACAAACATAACAATTCACCATGATTTGAGCATAGTGTAAATTGTATAGGATGTTGTAGTGATCTGATCTGTCTGATGCGATATGACCCTAAAATTTGCAGAATACTAAGATGGGTTTCGGGAGAGAGGAAGAGCGGATTGAATCAAATGATGAAAGTACGATGAAATGCATCATTTTGGACATGACTGGTGAGAGCCTTTTAGTAAACCTTGATTTGTGCTAAACTTGTGATAATGACACTGCTGCATTTGATTGCTCTAAGTTAATTAGTACTATTGGAGAATTACTCAAGCTCTCAACTTTTCAAACAATTTTTGGGATAAACTTGTGAATATGCTTCCATGGACTTTTATCCTCTCCATCTCATAAATGAAATGAAATTTTTTATTTCGTTTCACATTGCTGAAACATGTCATCAAAATCTAAATCTAACGATGTATAACTATCAGATCAAATCATTATTTTTTTTTTTTTTTAAATTTCCTTAAATCATTTTTGGACTTGAATTGAATATTGTCAATGTTGATTTTTCACATCCATTTATTATGGAAATGGAGAGGATTTGAAGCCATGCTTCCACCACGGCCATTATTCTTGCTTTGTTTTTTGAAAATATTTTACACATCTTTTGGCATTTAGTATAACAAAAAATAAATGTCAACAAAAATATTTGTAAATGGAAAATGAGTTGCTTTGGGCAATTATCTTCTTTTTAAAAGTTAAAGAATATTTGTCATACTAGAGTCTTACAACGCCACTACCACCATGAGTATCACCATTGTCATCACTCCACAACCACCCAACACCATCACTACCACAAACCACTAGCACATATCATTTTCAGGGTGACAACCAAAAACAAGAAATGTTTTTCACATAAAGCATTTTTCCTATGCTTCAAAAAATGAACAAGGCGTTAATTAGCTTGTCTTTTGTACATTTTTGTTCCAACAGCTGTAACAGCCATAGACACCAGTGGAATTGACACAATATGTGAACTTAGAAAGATGTTGGAGAAAAGATCACTTCAGGTAATTAACAAATCGATGTCAGCTAACCGATTTCATATATTAGAGACCTTATTTGTCTGATGATTTTCTACCTATCATTTTATGAATCTTGGTAGTGTTTCTAATGGCCATTTTTCTGTTTATAAATGTAGTTTGTGTTGGCAAATCCTGTGGGAAATGTGATGGAAAAGCTTCACCAATCCAATATCTTGGAGTCTTTTGGATCACTCTATCTAACGGTTGGCGAAGCAGTGACTGACATATCATCATCACTATGGAAGGCTCAACCATGAATGAAATGAGAAAAGGAGACATAGCTTCAAAGAAAGGATATATATCATCACTTATCTTATTCCTTAGCATAGCACTATTACTTCCTAGTCTAGGTTGATCAGTTATTAGTTAAAAGGAGAGGAGATAAGGGGAATTTTCCATTGTTTTCTATTTGCGAAAAGTTTAACGCAACAGGATAAGTAAGTTATTGTTTTTGGAGACGGCAGTGCTAACCTCTTCCTAGGGAGGATTTTGAAATATTTTGAAGATGACAAATTTGGATGTGTTGGGACTTCCTAATTCAACTTGATTTGTGATTTCTTATTTGTCATCGACACAACAGGAAAGAAGATTGATGTCTCATTTATTCGTCTTTTTTGTGTTTTCAAAAACAAAAACAATGAAAAGATTCAAAAACCAAACAAACCATTTTTCTCATATTGTTTTTATTTTTGTGCGCAAAACAGTCTTTGAAATATTGAAAATAACTTTTTGATGTTTCTGAGAAAGTCGGTTGCTTTCAAAAACGAAGTTTGGAAAATGAGCCAAGTTTGGTTAATTGTTTTGGGAAAAAAATGTCTACAAACAACTCATTTTTTATGCAACTTTGAAAAGTTATTTTCTAATTTTTGAAAATGGTTTTCACAAAAAAATAAATAAATAAACAATATGAAACAATGGATGTTTACAACTTTCTATTATTTTTGTTTCTGAGAACTAGAAAAAAGAAATATGAATACTGAAAATAACAAAAACAAAAATGATATGAAACATGAAAGTGTTTGAAAAAAATGTAAATTTTGGAGACTTTCAGCGAGTAAAAATGGCCTTTTTCTTTTGAATTTAAGAGTTTATGTCTGGTTGTCTTCATCACCGATCTGGGTTATTGCTTAAAATGGTTTCATAGTAATATAAAGTTGAGTCAAATTGACTCAGTCATCGCCATGAACTAAGATAAGCCTAAGTAGAGACTAAAGGATTTGAAGAAGATCATTTTTATTTTTCTTATTTTTCAATCAATAGAAACTGTGTCTCTTATACAGTCACTGTAACTGCCTAACTCAATACATCCACTAACTAACCATGGTTATGTTATATAACTTCCTAACAGATTCTTCTAACCACCACAAGTGGATTGTAACCTCCTCAACTTCATACACGTGCTCATCCCATGAGCATTAGCCTCAGATGGCTTAACCAACTCCTTGAGCTGGAGCAGTGGCTTGGTCTGCAACTGGTGTAGCTCTGTTCTTGACTTAGGCTTGGACTGCAACTGAGACTATGCTTGTGAATTGAGTTCTGCCTTAAGCTCTGTCTTGAGCTCGAAGAAACCACAGCTTTTCTGGATATCAGCAGCCTCTTCGTTAATTGCCATTACTGTCTCAACATGTATATCTTATATCCTTGACTTACAACACTATGAAGTTTCCACGGTCTGGACTTAAATTCTTCAATGATTTATGCAAAGTAAAATGCTTTTTTGTTTTTCAAAAATATTTCCATCATCCTTCATTGCTGTGCATAAGAGAATTTTCTAATATTGTTAACAGATAGGGCAGTTGCCAGAAGGTCTGAACCAATTGTCAGTGAAACTTCTGTATTTTCATGGCCCAAAGTTAATCAATGTTTTGAAAACTGGTATTACAATTGGGTTAATCTCACTAGTTGTAAGTTATCTCTTCTAACTTATTCTTTTACTTAGATTGCTTAAAAATTTCAATGCTACTATGCTACCACCGCCACCATCACCTCCACCACCCCACCACTATCATCTATGCCGCCACCTCCACTACCACTACCACCTTGACCCTGCCGTTACCACCCCACCACCACTAATAAACCATTAGTATATTAGTTTCATTACAAGAATTTACACTTTTGGCGACTAAATTTTTAGTCGCCAAAAGTCATCTTTTAGTCACTGAAACTTTTTAGTGACTAAATTCTTTGGTCACATGAGCAGTCACTAAAGGATTGTCGAGAAAGGTAATTGGCGACTAAAATTATTTTTGTCGCCAAATGTACTGAAATGCCGACTAATTTTTTAGTCACCAAAAGTATTGAAAAAAATTAAATATCACATTTTCAGCGACTAAAAATATTTTGACTCAAAAAACCTTACTTATATCTAGCTACTAAAGATTTAGTTGCCAAATTTTTTTTTGGTTCCTCCTATTATTTTTTTAGTTACTAAATATATTAGTCGCCTAAAGTGTGATTGTGTTTTAGCTACTAAAAGTTTAGTCGCCTAAATTCTCACATTTTCCGCTACTAAACTTGTAATCGGCAAGAGTGTTGTTCATCAAAAAAAATTTGGCTACAAAATATTTTAGTTGCCAAATGTCAACTTGTTTTTGGCTACTAAGGTTTTAGTCGCCTAAAGTCTGGTTTTGTTTTTGGCCACTAATTTTTTAGTCACTAAAAGGTTGACTTTTCTGGCTACGAAGCTTTTAGTAGGCAAATATTGTGTTTTGCCTACTAAACATGTAGTCGGCAAAAGTCTCACATTTTTCGCTACTAAACTTGTAGTCGGTAAATGTTTTTTGTTTTTCAGCTAAAAAATATTTTAATCGCCAAATGTCTAATTATTTTTTAAGTTTTAATCGCCTAACGTCTGCTTTTTGTTGGCACTAAGCTTTGTAGTCGCCGCAATTGTTTTCCGAAAATTTTTATTTGGTTTTAGCTACTAACATTTTAGTCACTGCAATATGTACTTCCTTTTTTACTACAAATTGTTTAGTCGCCAAAAAAATACTCTTATGTTTTATCGCAAAATTCTAATTTCTCCACAACCAGTCTGTATTCCGTGTAATCTGTAGTATGTATATAAACAAAACAATACATATTTTATCAATCATTCCACAATCCATATTACTTCCAACCATCCAAAAATGATAACTTTAAATGTATATATTCCATACAAATCAACTATTGTCCAAACTAAAATTATGTTTCCATACAAAAACCTAACCCTCCATATACAAAAAATATATTTACTACCATGCGATATGACCATTTGGCTTCGTAATCTGTATCACGACAAAAGGTGATCTATATGCCACGCCAGCAACAATCAATTGGATTACAAAAGTTATATGTATCAGTAAAACTAATCTACACAAAAGCAAAGGATGACACAGTTAACAGAATTATACAAAATTGTCAAGTGTCCTCCATATACAAAAATATAAACTATCCACAAGTCCATGCCAAAAGCCATCTGCAAAAAATTAAAAAAAAAATTACATCCATTACAAATATCAATTGATTCAGACATAGGAAAAATGTTGTAATAACAAGCATTTAACGTAGAACAATCTATAAAAGCCTTTTTTTGAAATACAATCATATTTATGTATCATGAAAAATTTATTCCAAACTTGACTTCAATTTTTAAAAAATACAATTTTTAGGAGCATACCTCTTCATAAAATAAATACTTATTCTAAAATGTTTTGGTTGTAAATTTATTTTAACTCTTCTTCATTCCCATTTTCCTAGTCAAAGTAAAATAAACAAGTAATCTATGGGGTTATCTCCATAACCATATCATGCTTTCTTAATACGTTTACCACCCAAATGACCACCGTATATGATGAAACAATGACATCATTTACAATCAAAATATTGAACATTTATTGGATGTCAAACTCTCCCCTTTTCGAATAAGTTTAAGGCGTTTTCGGCAATAACTCCCAACCTATCTATGCTAATTACATTTCGTCTGTTGTCATAGGTCCTATTTGTCGCGGGGAAGCTAGCCATGACATTCTTACAGTGGTTCTGGGGTTGTTTTTCATTTTTGTCCCCTTAACGACCTTTTTCGGTTAAGTTTTAGGCGTTTTTGGCTAACTCCCAACTTACGTGTGCTAATGACGTTCCGACCGTCATCACAGGTCCTATATGTTATGGGGAAGCTGGCCGTGACATCCATATAGTGGTTATGGAGCTGTTTCGCACCCTTAACGCCCTTTTTCGATTAAATTTAAGGCATTTTCGACTCTAACTCCCAACCTACACACGCTAATTATATTATGTCTGTTGTCACAGGTCCTATTTGTCACTGGATAGCTGGCCGTGACATCTATACGGTGGTTCGGGAGCTGTTTCACATTTTCGCCCCTTTAACGCCCTTTTTCAATTAAGTTTAATGCGTTTTTGGCTCTAACTCCCAACATACGCTTGTTAATTACATTTCGTTTATTATCACAGGTCCTATTTGTCACGGGGAAGCTAGCCGTGACATCCGTACAGTGATTTGGGGGCTGTTTTGCATTTTTTTTTTGATCGGCAAATGTTAATTGTTAGTTATTAGATGAGCACCTATGGGAGAAAATCTCGCCATCCTAATTCAACTCCCCTAAGGGGAATTGAACTCATGACCTCCTTGGGACTAAACCTTAAGGAAGGCACGGGGACTGTTTTGCATTTTTACCCCCTTAACGCCCTTTTTCGGTTAAGTTTAATGTGTGTTCGGCTCTAACTCCCAACCTACACGTGCTAATTATATTTCATCTGTTGTCACAGGTCCTATTTGTCATGGGGAAGCTGGCCGTGACATCCATATGGTGGTTCTGGGCTGTTTCGCTTTTTTGCATACTTAACGCCCTTTTTTGGTTAAGTTTAATGCATTTTCGGCTCTACCTCCCAATCTACACGTGCTAATTACATTCTGTCTGTTGTCACAGGCTCTATTTGTCACAGGAAAGCTGGCCGTGACATCCGTACGGTGGTTCGAGGGCTATTTCGCATTTTTGCCCTCTTAACGCTTCGGTTAAGTTTAAAGCATGCTAATTAAGGTGTTTCGCCATAGGTCCAATGTGTTTTTTTTTTTTTAGGTTTATCATTTAACAGAATTCCATCGTTGTGATAACATGGGAAATTTGCATCATTAAATATTCTCTCAGCTCCTCTCATTTTTTTTCATAATTAATGACTTAGTTAACAAATTAATGTCACATTTTTTTTCTCCTCTTATTTGTATAATGTCAAAACAATTCCAAGTTCTCCAAAACAATATTGTCAATATGTGAAGCATTTTGTTAGAACTTTTACTATCATATGAATGAAATTCTTCTTACCAAATAGGACGATGACCATCTGAACCTTGCAACAAAGTTGTGAGTCGTAAAACCACGTTGTTTAGATGATTAAGTTGTTCTTGTTGCGCGTCCCTTTCTTTTTTTTTTTCCTTATTCTACTTCTTTCATCATCTCCTCCCTTGTTTTTTTTCCTTCTTCTACTTGTTTCATCATCTCCTCTCTTTCCCCACATGATAGACAGCAGCAATTAACAAAAGGAATAAACATTTAGGGCCAATTTATTACTACT